AGAAGAGAGCAAGGAGCAGGGAAGTGGAAGGAAGAGGACAGAGGGGAGGGTCTGAGGACTTGGCCCACCGTCGCACCTCCTGTCCGAGCTCCCCTTGCCCCATCCATACTGTGGTGGCAGTCCCCAAGTTCTGAGGGGCACAGACAGTAGTCAGCATTGTGTGGTCCAGGCCAGGTGTCTGGCTGTGCCGCCTCCTCCGTCCCACAATGGGAGAGTCTAAGGGAGACACTCCACGTAGGCAGGCTAGCCACGTGCTTCCTCAGACCTGCCCACCAGAGCTAACCAACTAACTAACTAACTAACTAGCTTACCCTTGTAGTGGAGGTGGTAAAACCAGCCGGTGCCCTCAGAGAGCCGAAGACACAAACTAGGTTCCAAGAGGGTTGGTGAGAGAGGGTACTGATTATTCAAAGAGATGAGTCACTAGGTTGCCGCCTAGATTTCCTGTTCGGTTTTGTGCCAATAACGTGTGTTTTGCTGCTTGCGTCATTCCCCGTGTCCTGACAACTCAGACAGAGGAAGTCAGGTGTTGTCTGATTGCAATACGGTGCCCCCGACCTGCCTGCATAAAGTCCAAACTAACCTTTTATTTTATTTTACATTAAGAAAGAAAGATGGTTTTCCCACATGACAATACTTCTTCAAGCTTGCTCCTTTCAACATTCATTCCCAAACATCCAACTATAAACAACCCTTAGTTTGTAAGTAATTGCCTCTTCACTTTCTCTTTTGTATTGGGCCCACACTCCATTCACAAACTGAACAATTTAAGCTGCTGATGGAGCTAAGCAAGGTTAAACAGAGGTATATGGGTTACTTTAAAAATTACGTAATGGAAGATACGTGCTAAACTGCATAACTTTTAAAAGTCACAAAAGTTAAGCAAACAAAAATAATTTGCCCCAAAGGAGCACTGACATGGGACAGTTTACTGACTGGTCAGCACACTGATCATTGAATCCCAGAGAAGCCTCCACCCAGAATCACTGACTGTGCTCACGGAGTAGAGCAGGTGCCCCTTATGGCACCTCTGCAAATTCTTGTGGCAACACCTGCATTTCTGGACACAGTATTCATGGAGAGATTGTTCAGATATTGTCTTTCAGGAACCTCGGATCAAAGCAGGAGGAATGGAAAGAATAACTTCTTTCTGTGTACATAAAACAACGCAGAGGCAATGCCAAACTTCCACACTATTGTACAAAACACACACTAGATTTCACATGAGGCTATCGATGCTTTAATGGAAACCATATGATGTTTTTATTCAATTTTTCCAGATGCTTAAAATTATTTCCTTTTAGGCGCCTGCTGCGAGCATTGGTGGTTCAATGCAGCGTTTGAGCGGCCCGTGTGGGAGACCCGGCCCACGCACCTCATGCGCAGCCATCACCGTTCCGTCAGTGGAGGTCTGCGTGCTGCTATGATGCTGAACAGGTTTCATTGGAACTTCCAGACTAACGCAGACTAGGAAGAAAGGCCTGGTGATCTACTCCCGAAAACCACCCAATGAAAACCCTATGCATCACAATGTCTGATCTGCCACCAATCATGCAGATGGCGCAGGACTGGGCGGTGTTCCACTCCGTTGTGCATGGGGTCACCAGGAACTCGGCCCACCTACTGACAGCTTTTTAACAACAACAGATGTTTATTAAATCAAGCCGTGCCATATGTGAGAAAACCTTTGCCAAGTAGCCTGGAGGTTTGTTTCTCCCCTCCACAGAAGGCCTTCGATCTGATGGGGACATTGCCACAGGCCAGGCCCCAGGAGACCGTGCTGCTCTCAGGGAACCTACCGAGATGCTCTCCTCCTGCCGATACTGCTTCCAGTTCCTGCCGCTGTCGCTGAACATCAGCAGGTAGCTGGTCACCCAGTCGGAGCTGCCGTACCCGCCCTGTGTGGCCACAGCCGTGACCTCCATCCTCTCTCCAAGGTCAACCTGCAGCCACTGGTGCTTGTTTGACACGAGTGGAGTCCAGCCCCCTGCTCCTGTT